AATAGTAGTAAAATACCAAAAATATCCCTCAAAAGTCTCGTGCGCGAGGCACATCACATTTTTCGCCTATTATTTGGATGCCCGTTAGAGATAAGGACCAAAGTGAGTCAATGTGTTAACATGGCTGACGAAATTGACAAAATTAGAATTTTAGGGACAAAAGTACAATAAGTGACAAACTTTAGGGACAATTGGTGTAATTTACCCTATAAAAGATTGAGAGATATAGATATAGATATAAATATGACAGATATAAATTATCGAATTTATTGTATTTTTTTAATGTTATTTTAATAAATTAATGCATGTTATTTAATTAAATTATTAAAATAATTAAAAAATATGTGTTTACTTAATTTTCTATCCAACTTCCTCCACAATTGTTTTTGATGAAATTCAGATAGGAATAATATATTTAATTGGTTAAGATAGTTCAAGAAAAATTTATTTTACAAAATATCGGATAGGAATATGAAATATCATAATTTTTACCTAAGATAAACACCTTTATGAAAAAGTGAAGAAATATAAGTAAAAATTTATAATAGTTTAGAAAGATAGTGGATGTAGTTAAATAAGCTAAATGATATAATTTGATTAAAAGGAATTAATTAAATATTTATAAAAAAATAAAAAAAATTAAGTATTTGGGGAGGAAAAAATTTTAAAGTTATTTCACCAAATTATTTTTTAATATCTATAATATAAAATAGGGCAGCTTCAACAAGCCGATCCTACGATCTTAAATTTATTCATCCAACAGTCAAGAAATTACAATTTTTTTCCTTAGTATTTTTTCCCAATAAATCAACAATTACAGCTGATCTTGAAACATATCTTACGGTCTCACATTTATTCATCAAACGATTAAAAAATTAACATTTTTTTTTTAATATTTTATCTCCCAACCGATCAACGATTACGATCGATATTGGAATACAAGATTTTCTCTGATATAATAATTAAATGGGTCAACTTTGTCATTAATATCTTCTGTGTAATATGATATTTTGAATTTTTATAAGACACAATGATAACATTTTGATTAAAAAAAGCTCCCCAATTTAAGATAAAATAAAAACAAGGTTAACACATTTATATTAAAAAAATTAAATTTAAATTAAATTTATTTAATTAATTATCTAAACCTGATATGTCTTATACATATCTTGAATCAAAAATTCAAGACTAATTTTTTTTATATTTTAAGAAAATTCAACGCTAATATATTCTTTTAAATTAATAATTTTGTAAAAGCTTGTACTAATTAAAAAAATTATATTTTGTAAATGATACTTGTAGATTTTTTTTTGATAAAAAATATTTTGGCGATATGCTTTTTGATAAATTAAAATTTTAATTTGTATTAAATTTAACACGATTTTAATTACATGTATATAAATTAACATTTTTTTTAAGTCAATTTTATCATATTTTGTGGATTTATCTATAATATTTATAATATAAAATAGGACGGCTTCAACAAGCCTATCCTACGGTCTAAAATTTATTCGTGCAACAACTACTAACATCTCTTTTAAAATCATTCATATTGAATTTTACCCTCCTCTTCTCACTTTTTACACTCTCTCTCTAGCAGTGGCAGAAAATGAGGGGCTTGCGGTTACCCTGAAAAAATATATATAAATTTTTGTTATATAAGTTTTATATATTTTTTTGGATTAATTGGGTCCACTACAATGATTTATGAAAAACAAATTTAATTAGGTCAAATAAGATACGTACTAGAACAAAAAAAACAAAAATAAAAGTTCATACCAATCTCTTAAAATTAACAAACTAAAATTAATTATTTAGAGTATTGGTATGATTTGTTGAGGTCTCATTTGGTTCAAAAAAACATGGAATACATGGCCAAATGAGTAAAATATGAAATTTGTAATTAAAAAATTAAAAAATATTATTTTTATCTGTGTCAAATCTATATGTATAATAAAAAATAGTGCGGCTTGTACAAGTTCATCATACGGTCTCAAATTCATTCATCAAACGGTCAAGAAATTACAATTTTTTTCTTAATATTTCCTCTCCCAACCGGTCAATGATTATGGCTGATATTGGAACACATCTTACGGTCTCAAATTTATTCATCAAACGGCCAAGAAATTAATATTTTTTTTCTTAATATTTTTCTCCCAACCAGTCAAAGATTACGGTTAACTTGAATCACAAGATTTTCTTTAAAATAATAATTAAATGGTTCAAATTTGCCATTAATATCAACTGTTTAGTGTAACATTTTAAATTTATATAAGAGACAATGATAATATTTTGATTAAAAAAAAACTCATCAATTTAACATATTAAAAAAAAAGGGCAATGCTTAACACATTTATATTGAATGTAATTAATTTTAATTTTGTTTATTTAATTAACTATCTCAAACTAACATGTTTTGAATCAAAAGTTGAAGACTATTTTTTTTATCTCTTAAGAAAATCCAATGCTAATATATTCTTTTAAATTAATAATTTTGTAATAACTTGTACTAATTAAAAATAATAATATTTGTAAATCTTTTTTTGATGAAAAATATATTGACGATATATTTTTTGATAAATTAAATTTTTAGTTTGTATTAAATTTGCCTCAATTTTAATTATATGTATATAAATTAATAATCAACTTTGTATTATATGTATATAAATTAATGTTTTTTTAAGTCAATTATATTATATTTTGTGGATTCTATAATATAAAATAGGGCGGGTTCAACAAGCACATCCGACGGTGTCAAAAAAATTCATTCAAAGGTTACCAACATCTTTCTCAATATCATTTATATTAAATTTTACCTTCCTCTTCTCACTCTTCACTCTCTTTCTCTGGCAGTGACGGAGGGAGGAGGGGTTTGGGGCGACCCATAATTTTTATTTATTTTTTAATTATATATGTTTTATATATTTTTTTAGATTAGTTGGGCCCATTGTAATGATTTATGAAAAACAAAATTAATTGGATCAAACAAGTTGAGTACTAGTGCAAAAAAATAAAAACAAAAAATTCATACCAAATCTCTTAAAAATAACAAACTAAAATTGATTCGTTAGAGTATTGAAATAATTTGTTGAAGTCTCATTTGGTTCAAAAATTATAGAATATATAGCCAAAAATTAGTAAAATATAGAATTTATAAAAAGATTAAAAATTATAGAATATTGCTTTTATTTGTGTCAAATAAATTATATTATTGATCCTTAATGTATAAATGTTATCTTATTAATTTTTTTTCAAATAGACCATTTTTATTTTTAATGAATTTTTAAGTATCACATCTAATATAAAAAATATAAATATATAACATTATTTTTATCTATTATACTTAAAGTGTGTCCACCATAAATCATATATTGGCTCTGTCACTATTCTCAAAGATCTACACTCCTCACTTTTCTAATTAATTGGTTGATCTATTTTACACTGTGCCTTCTAGGGGTGTAATTTGGTTTGGACAACCCGATTTTAACCCGAAAAATTTAGTGTTTGGGTAAGAGTTTTTAGTACTTGGGTTGGGATTTGGTCAAAAAATTTCAACCTGAATTTAATTTGGGTTGGGCTGGTATTAAGGTCTCGTGAACCAGAGTTCAACACGAACCCGACAAATTAAAAAAAAAGTTATATATATATATATATATATATATAAAGTATTAACACTGATTTTTTATTTTTGTTCTATCATTCTCTTTACCACTCTTGTTTTCTCAACCCCTCTCGTTAAAAACTTGGTTGAAGTTATTGGTTGTTAATTTATGTGAATATTATATAATATATGTATTACGTTTAAAACAACAAGCTTATTTTGTACTATACTTAAATTGAACCCGTAAAATAATCCGAAACCAATCCGAAATCATCAATCGTAGCCCGCCTGAATTAAACTTGAATAGTGCTCGTGATGAGTTTTTCAACCCGAGGTAGGGTTAGGATTAAAGATTATATACCTAGGATTGGACTCGGGTTGATTGTCTAACCTGTCCAACCCACCCGAATTGCACTTTTAGTGCCTTCAGATACGGATTATCCATAATAAATTGATAAATAGATTCATAATTAATTGATTATATATAGTGACGGTGACCCATACAAACGTGGCGTAACTGTTTCATTAAATATTGTATCCGGGTTAACCCGCCGTGAAATATTTTCGCTATATCGTCAGATTCGGGTAGCCTGAAGAATAGCCTTCAGTCTCTGCACTTTCTAGGGTTTTCGTCCGATTGGTTCTGTTCCCGTGTTCTCCGACATTCAAGCCTCTCCAACGTCAGGTATTTGATTTTATTATGGAGCCTTTTCATCGAAATTATTGCCCAGTCTTGCATAATGGAATTCAATGGTTCGTTTGCTTTTACCGGAATAATTCCTTTTTTTAAGCTGTAATTGGGAAAGAAATTGGGTTTTCATGTGGAAAATCAAGCAAACAGAGAAGTAGGGTCGGGTGTTTTGATTCACTCATGGGCTTCAGCTCATTGCTTAATCAAATCGGTCACAAGAATCTTACTTTATCAGTCTGTAATTGGGACAGAAATTGGGTTTTCATGTAGAATTATGTTTTACTCTGCTTAATGATGTGGGCGAAGTGTCTCTTTACTTTTGGTGTTGTTCTTGGTGCCTCCTTTTTTCTTTTTTTGCTTTTAGAGAACTGTTCTCTGTTTTTGAAAGCAAGATTAATGGACAATCGGAAAATTAGGTGACAAGGCCACATGTGTGTTGTTTATGACTAGCACATTCAAATACTTGCGTGACAACAAGCCATCTACTGCAAAATACCAAAGGGTTACTTTTTTTTTCCCTTTCATTACTGGACTTGTCTGGACTGAAAACGAAAAATCGGAACATTCTTTTGAAATCATGATCAAACATGCCCTAGTTAATTCATGCTAAGCACGGTGCATCAATGTTGTAAGTTTGTCTGTGGTCATGGGTGATGAAGTATTCAGCTATATTTATTTGAATAATGTTGTGATCAATCTGTATTTCAGATGAGCTATTCGTCGGATCCTCATGCAATGGACCATCGTAAGTCTTTCTCTCCTCTTCTATGAAGAGGCCAATTTTCGGAATATTGGCGGGCATGTAACACTAGTTCTTTATCTACCCTTGTATTCAAGGGGAATTTTTCAAAGATGTATAATTTAATTGTGCATATCTGTTGATTTGGATCGTAAATGTACATCTCCATTTTTTTTTGTTTTTGATGTTTACTGCTGTTGAAATTTACATTGGTTTAATGGTTTTCTACTATGTGTATTTTGGGCTGAGAAGAGTCTGGAGTCAAAGGATCAGAGGTCTTTGTTGGTGGCTTGGCTCCTACAATAACTGAAGACAAGATCCGTGAGGTTGGTATTCTTATTTAGTTTTTGATGTACATTTTTTTAGGTGAGTTATACTGCAGTACTAAAGTTTATTACTTAGTGTATGAGCATGATATGTGGTGAACTCTACTTGTCTTTGAGAATTTGGCTTGATCAAACTGGGTGGCTGGTTAAAGTTTAAGAGTGTCGACTGTGACGTAAAGAGATGATATTTTGAAGTCCTAGATATATGATGAGGGAAAAGACAGACTATCAAGAGAGATTTGTTCATTACTTGTTTTCATTTCATCTCTAAAGGAAACACCTAGATATGTGTAAATTGGCAGAGATCAATTGTATTATTGGTAAGCATAGATGTGGCTTAAAATCTGAATCTGTTCAAGTTCAATGGGTAGTTAATGCTCTACAAACTAACCTCACAAGGATCAAAATCTTATTATTTTATTTCTTAATGAATATTTAATAGTATTTCATTTCTTAACAAATTTTTAATTTACTTAATTCTCACCATAGTTCTTTCCTTTGTTTTATTCTTGAAAAAAATTCCATTCATGTATTTTATTGATTTCAGTGTAAAGTTTCCCTGGTCCAATAGAGATTCAAGAGAGCCCATCCTGTACACTTATGGGCTTTGGGCTGAGTTTGGTATAAATTGGTTCATGTGGTCCTGGGGGAGCTTGTTAGGTAACAAATAAGCAACTGACATGTTATGTTATAAAGGGTTGACAAGTGACTGATGAAAGATTGGTCAGTCTTTGTGATGTGCCACCATCTGATTTTGAACAAAATAGCGCTGAGAAAATTGTTTCCTGACCAAGTCAGTGCAGTCTTCTTTGAACTTGACATTTTCTGATGACTCCAATCTATCTGTGTCCACTTGAAGCTGTTACTGTGATCACCTATGCTTTTTAGATAGCTCTTATATCATCTCTTAGATGTTATTAGGAATGTATCTAGTATGTCGTGGTGTCCCTCTGACATGTGCAGATTCGTCTTTGTTCTTTTATGAAATCAGTTTGTGTTTCCAGCTTGGTTTGCCTGTATAAAAAGCTGCTCATGTTCATAGGGTTCCATCAGGATTCCAATCAAAAAATTGGTCAAAGCCCAAATAGATGTAGACTAGAAATTGCTAAATCAACGGTTCCAGAGTGGCTAGTAATACCGCTTAAGGGCGTATAGACCGTCTAGTGCCGCTACCCACTTCCACTAAGGCTGGGCTTAATAGGAGCTAGGGATACATCATACATGTGTTTGAATGTGTCTAATCATTTGTATGCAAATATAAATGCATCCATTTGTGACTGTGCTCAACTTCATTAATGAGTGATTGTCATTTTGGAAAATAGAAGAGCTAATCGCAATTACCTGCTGTGATTACAAATCTTTGACAAGCTACAAGTTGTGACAAAGAACATCAAATAGTCTTCATCAGGCAGGAGTTATTAGACAAATGATAACTTTTATGGGGCTTCTGCTGTGATATTGCATATTGACAAAAAAGTGGACTGACTATCATTCCTATTCTTCCATGTGGGGTAGATGCAATGTTCAATCCTCATAGATTTGATCTTACGTTTTTGTTTTTGGAATCATAGTCTGGCCAGGCGAGGGAGAAGTGATGCCAAAAACAAAGGAGACAATGGAAAGTAAAAGAATATCGCAGATTTTAAGTTGGGGGTTTACATGATTGCTTGATTATGAAATTGAGCATGGCCTTTTTGCTTTCCCTTCTTATTTTTTCTTTTCTTTTCTTTTTATCATCTTCCTTTAGTTATTACATCAACCTGCTGTCACCTTATCTATAGCTTTGTATGCCTTTCAGGTATTCTCTACTTGTGGGGAAATTCTGGAAGTACGTTTGATTAAGGACCCGAAAGGAAACTTAAAGGTTTATTTTGCATTTGTTCGTTGTCTGCTTGTCTATGATTTTGCTTCTTAAAGTTTATGCTTCTTCTGTTCTTCATATGATTCTCCTTTCAGCATTAAACTAATTGTCATTTGGTATAGGGATTTTGCTTTGTACGTTTTGCAACGAAAGAGGCTGCTCAGAAAGCTGTGAAGGAAAAATCTGGATTAATGGTACGCCAAACAGCATATCAATTGTACAAATGAATGTTGTTCTAATGGTGCTTTAGTCTGTGGTGCAAAGTAGCTTTCCTCTGCGGTAGTGCAGCACATACTTCCCCCCATCCTACCTCAATGAATGCCATGCTGTGTTTTGCTATCGATTTCTCACTGTCAATCTCAAATGCTTTATTGTTATGCTGTGTGATCTAGCTTTTTGAACATAAGGAAATTTTGGCACTAGCAAAAACATGAATATATTTGGAATTAAACAACTGCGTGAAGAGCTAAATTACAAGACATTTTTTTTACAATGTAGCATCACCGAAAAGGTGGGATCTGTTTGTTCTTGCTGTCAGTCTAAGAATGCCTTCACCTCAATAACCTTCTCCGGGATTCATATTTTTTCAACCAATTTGTTTATTGTGCCATGCATGCAAAATATTTCTAAACCTAGAACTAGATCTTATTTAGAATAATTTTTGGAAATATAAAACTCATTAAAATTTTAGATCTTTCATTACCTTTCCTTTCTCGAAGTTAACATTCCAATATACCCGATTTTTGGTAATTGTTAGGTGTAACTTATATATATTTCTCTTACATCGAGAGATTTGTTTGCATTGGCATCTCGTAGAAATGTTAACCTGAACTTTATTTGCCGTAATATATTTTGTGAGGGATGAA